ATCAATCGAAAAACTAAAACACTGTAGAAGATAAGCAGTGTCGTTGTCGTCCACAGGGCGCTGTTCATCTCTCTGTCTGACCAGAGGAATTTATAGAATGGATCTAACTCCTTTGAAACGTAACTGGTTTTATCATAATATCGCATAAATCTTCGATGAATACAGGATATAGAGGATGCTTAGTTCGGCAGATATTGTCCAAATAGCAGATGTATTTAACAATTATTCCTTGAGACTGGGTACGAACACGAACTGGGTATAAAACTCGTACTTAAAGTCTAAAACAAGGACTATAGACTGGGCTACAAGAGGTAAAAGAGATTAGTACTAATTGTGAACTCGTATCAAGTGGACGACTCGTACAAGTAAAGGGACGCTTAATGTATAGTCTACGTCAAAATTGTTGGCCAACTACAACATATATAAAGAAAGATGGTAAATTTCAAGCTGAGTGAAGAAATAAGAAATGGGACAAAGAAAGAGAAGCCGACCTGTGTACGAAAAATCACAGGTTCAATTCCTGCATAGTCGGCGGGGACTTCTTGTCCCACGCTCGTTACATGTTGATCACATTATTTCTCAACTACAACAGATGATGAGCCTCGTTTTACATTCAAGACATTGCAACTTATAGTTAAAGCAACCTCCTATAGGTTCTTTGCATAATAACACGTGTTATGACCTTGAGGGTCCGCTTGTTCAAGCGTTGGGTAGTGCTATCCACCCCCGGATAAACCACTGTGCAGTGGATAAGTATTAGGGAAATTAATTGCGTTATCCAGATTTATCCAGCTGATAGCGTTGCCTACCTTTCTAACAACTGGGCCCAGATCTTCAAAACGTATATACATGTAGTTGAAATTGAAACAAATGTCATGTCTCAAAAATAGTAGGTATTTTGGGTGAAGTGGTTCACAAGTGTATTCTAATACTTAATTCTTCAGCTTAGAGTCTTCTATTGATTTTAGAAATATAACATTGACCTTCTGACTCATTTATCCGTTTAAAGCAAAGGAACATNCGCTCGTTACATGTTGATCACATTATTTCTCAACTACAACAGATGATGAGCCTCGTTTTACATTCAAGACATTGCAACTTATAGTTAAAGCAACCTCCTATAGGTTCTTTGCATAATAACACGTGTTATGACCTTGAGGGTCCGCTTGTTCAAGCGTTGGGTAGTGCTATCCACCCCCGGATAAACCACTGTGCAGTGGATAAGTATTAGGGAAATTAATTGCGTTATCCAGATTTATCCAGCTGATAGCGTTGCCTACCTTTCTAACAACTGGGCCCAGATCTTCAAAACGTATATACATGTAGTTGAAATTGAAACAAATGTCATGTCTCAAAAATAGTAGGTATTTTGGGTGAAGTGGTTCACAAGTGTATTCTAATACTTAATTCTTCAGCTTAGAGTCTTCTATTGATTTTAGAAATATAACATTGACCTTCTGACTCATTTATCCGTTTAAAGCAAAGGAACATTACAATGAAACATGAATAGGCCGCCGGGAAAACACTACCTTGGGAAAGAGTATTAGAAAGGAAAACTCGTACACTAGAAGTTTGATAGAGAGATGCTCACATGGGAAATCTTCAAAGACCTTCATTCCTCACTTTGTCTTTTTCCCCAATCTTCAGGCCTCATTCCTTACAATTAAGCCCAGTTGACGAGTAAAACTCTCGGCTATGTTTTATATCACTCCGTTGTCCGCAGTCCGCAAGCCGTAGCCGAAATTTTAGTTTGACCAGACTGCTATAGTCCACACACACACAAAACACCTTAATTACCGACGCCTTTATATTCATTGCTGTTAGCGTAATACAGACCTGGCACCTTAGGGAACTCATTCAAGCAATTCAAGCAACATTCATCTATATGGGATTGGATTTCTAGCGCAGTTACTAATGCGGACTTCCACCTGGAGAAAATAATGTAAGTTGTAAGACAAATGCGCATCCTTGAAACAGTAAGTTTCTTAAGACAGTAGCTTTGGCTATTTTATTAACCTATGTAGTTCCTGTGATCGCGAACCTTCTTTTGCTACACACGCATCGATCTAATAGCGTGAGACCAAATATCCATGGAAGAAGAAAAGAAATTATCGTTCAATCAAAGCAAACCGGCCAAAAGAAGGGAAGACTTTTAAAAGGCCTATTGCCCACATATGAATTCACTGCCAAAGAGAGATCTGTCACAAATTTCTGTAACTATACTCACGGAAAACCATTAATGAGACCCTAAAATACTTTAAGGGAAGGAGGAAATGGGCTTGAAAATGGCCGAATATCTCAGCGTTCAGTTAAACATTCTAAGTCTACGTTTTACTTCAGCTATTAAAATAGACGCTTTGTGTATACTACGCGAACACCACACACCAGCTGCATTTTAAAAGGCGCGCATTTTTAAAAGGCGTCTCATACACCAATTTCTCGTATTAAGTATGTAGAACATAAGAAGATATAGACAGACTGGTAAAAGTTCATGCTGTCTAGTACATTCATAGAAGAGGTGGGTTATGTGAAAAGACATTTGCGTTTCCTTATGTAAGTATTTGCTATTTTTAATTGAATACTGCTGCAGACTTCTAACTAACTAGGGTGATGACCTTGATATTAATTGCTGTCAAAAACATTTTTTTTAGACTCTTTAGTGTGATAGTCAAACACATTCTTTGGGTGTATTGAATCTACTCTTTTAACGACCACATATTTTTTGGCCCCGCCAAATGAACCCATATTTTTGGAGGGGCTTGTATAGGGAAGTTTGCGATTCAAATATCGGCTACCCTTATATATTGAGGAAAAATCTGCGTTTCAAAATCGATTGGGTTAGCTTATAGTTGGAAGGAAATCTATGTCAGTTATTTGCAGAAATTTTTTACTGAATTAAGAGGCCCTTAGCCTAAGAAACGACAGATGATCGGTCGATTTTTCTGTCCCAAGTACAGGTTACCGACTACTATTCAAAAAATGAATTTCTTTTGTTTCAGTTTCGTTTTCAACCAAGAATATGGAGCCGCAAACTTTTTTCCGTCTGATAGCATCATTTTTGGTCTAAAACAATCCCTCGGAAAAAACGGTTCAGAAATCACTATCGCAACGAAAATAATGAGAAAACTACACAGGGATGAAGAAATAGGCCTTTTAATGCAATGTCATTCGATAAACATCGAAAAACTGCCGAAGCGAATAAAAAATGAATTTTCAAATATTACATATTAAATTAGATGAAGCGTTGGAGCTGATTTTAAAATAATTATTTCTCAAAAGTCCAACCCTGCTGAAAGCAATCACAGTGAGGAATCAGACATTGGAGAGATAAACATCTCGTTTCCGAAAAAATAAACATTTTTCGGCCAAAGCATATTGTTGTAAAACCCGTTCAAAGTTACCGTACTTACCGGTCAGTATAAAATATGTACTGCGGACTGCAGACTGCGGACTACGGACTGCGGACTTCGTATAAAATACGGACTAGGTATAAAACGCGGACTGGAAAATACAGACTGGGTATAAAACACGGACTAGGTATAAAACGCGGACTACGGACTACGTTGGTGAAAACGGTGCTAATTGTTCTCAGTAAAGAAAAATACGGCCAAATTAAGATCGCTAAATAGCAAGACACGTGGGTTTCAGAGTTATAAATACCCCTAGAAATTCTTGGTGGATTTCTGCTGCCGGTTCTCTGAATCATGAGCCTGATTTCAAAATCGCTATTTTCTACACCCATTTTTAGACCTGGTCTCGGTCTCTAACAATCATGAAAGGGGTTAGGACCCGGGGAGGGCGGTACTCCCTCATACAAGCCATATAGGTATGTGCCGCCTCGAAGCGTAGGGTTTTGGGGTTTTTTGGTCTGAAAACACTGGAATCGGCTATGGATTTCGAGGAAACTCCGGGAGCGTACATCAGTATGAACGTATTTATCGTTTCAATTTCAAATGAATAAGAACGAAATAAAAATACAGTGAAACCTCTATTAAACGGACCCCCAATTAAGCGGACACTAAGCCGAGTCCCAAAATGAACGTCTGATATTTCCCTTTATGACGAACCCCTATTCTGCGGACACCTCTATTAAGCGGACGAGGACACTAAAGCAAGTTGAAGGTGGTTTTCACGTTACGTCAACGCCGCCATGCTGGTGGGCGGTAAACAAAAGATCGCTCATTAGCTCGCTTTGTTTGTCCACCAGCATTTGTTCATTTCACCATTGTTATTTGTGTCTCCCGAGATTGCATGAAAACCACCTAAAGCCGACGTTTCGGTATCATCATGACACCATTCTCAAGGCAAAATGAATAAATAATGCGAAGGTTTGATTTCTATAGTCTCTACAAATTGGCATAATAACAAAGGATCACAAGTTCTTCAAGTGAATACCTTTACGCGAATCGAGTCCGCCTGCACGTTTAGGGATGGTTTGAATTTTCTTATAAAGAGCATCTCCTTAACTAGGCAATCAAATTTGTTAGAACCTTTAGTGAGCACGTGAAATTGTTCTGAAAGAAAAGGTGGTACGTCCGAGTTATGTTCGCTAAGATAACGTTTACAAATTGACGACGATTTCTGTTTGTGTCCACCAATGTGTTCGTGGAAGTGGCCGCGAGTATAACCACTTGTGATCCTTTGTTATAATGCTAATTTGTAGAGACTATAGAAATCAAATCTTCGCATTATTTATTCCTTTTGCCTTGAGAATGGTGTCATGATGATACCGGAACGTCGGCTGTTAACGTTAATATTCGCTTGCTTATGTTTTAAGAAATCGTTTTTGATCGAGACTTTAGCTAATTTTTTAATCGGACACCGGACTGAATTGACAATTGTAGTGTTGGATTATGTCCTTGCAATACGCCACTGAAGTCAGTTAATGTTTTTGCATTTACAAACAAATTAAAGTTGGCAATGAAAGGTAATGAACTTGAACTCTGATAGCTTCTTTAACAACATGCAACTTTATCACAGTACAGAGTAACCGTTGAATG